ATGGGCTTTTGATCTACTTACCTGTAACACCAAAATGGGGTATGAGGATATGCCCGCAGCATAATCAATACGGGGGATGAGCGGAAGGAAATTGGGATAGGATGCAAAATCGCCGAAATCATCGACGGTAGAGAAGCTCTCCGCTACAACAAAGAGCACTCCCTCCGCATTGAAATCAACCTCCAAACGGCCATCCTGGTCGTTGAGCTTGAGGCGGCCGGCCATAGGGTAAAAGGGCACGAGGGCCTTGATGAGAGCCTGCTTGAGCCCTTCCGGGTGGAAGAAATTGTGCTCATGACCATAGCTTGGTCTGTAAAAGTAAACACTGGGCGTGTGAAGGGGCGGGAACACTAGGTCCAAGTTGGAGAGCCATAGGGGGCCCCGAGGCGTCGACTCCTCGGCTGGCTTCACCATGCTCGAATCCCTTATGCTAACTGTTACCTTCTCCCCCATCTCTACTTATTTTTCTTTAGGTTTTAAGAGGATCACACTCTTCTTTTCCTTTTATAATGGAAAGAAAATTAGGACCTCTTGGCTTTCTTGTGGTTACAAAAGCTTAGAGTTCATTATTAATCAACCAAGGGGCCACGTGCTCATCAAACAAAACTTTGATACATATGGTCCTGGTTTCTCTTCTCTGTCACGTCCAGCTGGTTTCGGGCCCAAAAAATAACTCATCAAACCAAACTCTGATACATATGGTCCCGATTTCGGGAGCTGCTAGAATGCGAAGGTTAATACGCAGAGCTTATTTGCGGGATGTTAACAATCGTTCAATTAAAATGAACGGTTCAGTTTCAAAATTGTAGTTTTATTACAACCGGGTTTAAATGACCCATAAGAAAAATCTCAACTCGCGAGTGACTTCAGTTTCACCCTTCTTCCTTCTCCTTTTTATCTCTCATCTCCTTCTCTCTATGCGACAGCCAACAACCTCACATCCATGATCCAACACCCTCCTTCTGCCTCCTCCCACCACCTAATTCTTCTCTTTCTCTCCCTTTGACATCCACGAAACTCAAGTTCCATATTTTTTTTTTTTTTTTTTTTTTTTTTTTTTTTTCTTTAGGACTGACATACACAAAATTGAATTTGATCTAGGTTGGGTTTCAGGTGGGTGTGGGGTGGGATGGATGTGGTGGAGGGGTGGCTAGCAGGCTAGGGTGGTTAGAATTGAGGGGAAGGGAGGGTAGAAAGGAGCAGGGGGGGGAATGAGCTGGGATGGATGAATTTTCTCCCCTTTTTTTCTAATATTTCTTTTCATTTTTTATTTACAAATTTTGATTTTTCACCAAATTTTACAAAGAAACTGTTTCATAACTTACGATACATTTTAGATGAATCATTTCTCTATTTTGATTTCCCCCCATAATTCTATTTTTTTTAAATAGAATTTCAAAAAGCATTCTTTTTGGGTTTGGGACAAGGTAATTTTCCAAGAGGTGCATATGGACCCAATACAAGTTGCTCTGGAAGATCTCTGAAGGCATAAGAAGTATGATTTTTAAAAAAGTAATAGAAACTAAAGTTTTATAACATTAATTTGTTTATAAACAAACCAAAACCATAAATAAGTTTTATAACATCACACTTTTGTTTCTTTGATCAAATGATTACCATGACTTCAAATCGTTTGAATTATGATTTTTAGAATTCTAATATCGAAGACATTGTCGTAAGGAGCACGTAGCTTTTTAGGGTATATTTTTAATTATAAGTGAAAATTATACTTTAGAGCTTTGGGGTACAGAGAATGTCATAAGGGGTTCCTAGGAATTTTCAATGTATTTTTTGGATTTTTAATTAATTTATTATGAATTTTAGAAGTAAAATCAAGAAAAAAATAATATTAAATAGTATAGGGCAACACTTGCAGCAGCCGTCATTGTTTCCAAAAGGTGGTGTAACAGGACTGCGCCACATGTCATTTTGTTTACTTTTTGAAGTTTATCCTATAAAAAGAATTTAAAAAAAATTAAAATCAGAAAAATACACCGAAAATGAGACAAACTCCTCATGACATCATTCTCGATTATGGAGGTCCAAAATTATGATTTCACATATTTGAGTACAAGATAGTTGTTGGATCAAAGAACATGAGTGTTAAGTTACAAAACATCAACTAGTGTTTTATATTGTTTAGAAACAAATTTGAGTTTTCATTATCACTTCACATTTTTATAAGTGAAAATTTTACTTTTATAGTTAGAGGGTGTAGAGAATGTCACAAGGAGTTCTTAAGAATTTTCGGTGTATTTTTTAGATTTTTAATTAATTAATTATGAATTTTATAATTAAAATCAAGGAAAAATAATATTAAATAGTATAGGGCGACACGCGGCATCAGCTGAAGGTGGTGCCGTCAGTGTTTCCAACAGGTGGCGTACCACGATTCCTCCACATGTCATTTTGATTAACTTTTTCCAATTTTATCTTTAAAACTTCTTTAAAAAATAATTAAAAATCAGAAAGATACACCGAAAATTGCTACAAGCTCCTCAAGACATCATCTTCGATTGTGAAGGTCTAAAATCATGATTTCACATATTTGAATTTAAGGTAATCGTTGGATTAAAGAACATGAGTATTATGTTATAGGACATCAATTAGTGTTTTCAATTGCTTAGAAACAAAGTTGAGTTTTATTATCACTTGACATTTTTATAAATAAAAATTACACTTTTAGAACTTGACAATGTAGATAATGTCACAAGAAGTTCCTAGAAATTTTCGGTGTATTTTTTGAATTTTGAATTAATTTATTATGAATTTTAGAAATTAAATCCAAGAAAAATACTATTAAATGGTATAGGTCGACAAATGGCAGGGCTGAAGGTGGCACCATCAGTGTTTCCAATAGGTGGCGTTCCCTAATTGTGCCACATGTCATTTTGATTACTTTTTTCAAGTTTATCTTTAAAAATTATTTAAAAATAATTAAAAATCAGAAAAATACACCAAAAATTGATACAAACTCCTCACGACATCATCCTCGATTATGAAAGTCCAAAATCATGATTTCACATATTTGAGTTTAAGACAATTGTTGGATCAAACAACATGAGTGTTAAGTTATAGAACATCAACTAGTATTTTAGATTGTTTTGAAATAAAATTGAGTTTTAATTATCATTTTATATTTTTATAATATAAAAATTATACTTTTAGAGATTGAGGGTGTATAGAATGTCAGAAGAGGTTCCTATAAATTTTTGATGTATTTTTTAGATTTTTAATTAATTAATTATGAATTTTAGAAGTTAAATTAATGAAAAATAATATGAAATAGTATAGGGCGACACATGACAGCAATTGAAGATGGTGCCATTAGTGTTTCCAACAGGTGGGTCCCACGATTGCGCTACATGTTGTTTTGGTTACTCTTTTCAAGTTTATCTTTAAAATTGATTAAAAAAATAATTAAATTTGATTAAAAAAAATACAAAAAAATTTGCTACAAACTGCCTATGACATTATCTTCGACTTTGAGTTCATGATAATTATTGTATCAAAGAACATGAATATTATGTTATAAAACATAATCAGTGTTTTAGATTGCTTAGAAACAAATTTGAGTTTTTATTATCAATTTACAGTTGTATAAATCAAAATTATACTTTTAGAGCTTGAAGGTGTAGAGAATGTCACAAAGAGTTTCTAAGAATGTTTGTTGTATTTTTTGGATTTTTAATTAATTTATTATGAATTTTAGAAGTTAAATTCAAGATAAATAATATTAAATCATGCTGAGCGACACGTGGCAGCAACTGAAGGTGCGCCGTCAGGGTTTCCTCCAACAGGTGGCATCCCACGATTGGTCTATACCCTTTAATATTATTTTTATAGTATTTAACTTCTAAAATGCATAATAAATAAATTAAAAATTATAAAAATACATCGAAAATTGCTAAAAACTCGTCATGACATCATCCTCGATTATGGAGGTCCAAAATCATGATTTAACATATTGGAGTTTATGGTAATCGTTTGATCAAATAACTTGAGTGTTATGTTATGAAACATCAACTAGTGTTTTAGATTGTTTAGAAACAAAGTTGATTTTTTTGTTATCAATTTGTATTTTTACAAGTGTAAGTTATATTTTCCGAGCTTGAGGGCGTAGAGAATGCTACAAGGAGTTATTATTATATTGTTATTTACCTTTGGACTGCAAATTATTATTAACCCTAAATTATTATTGTATTGTTATTTACCTAAATTATTATTATATTTATTTTTACCATAAACTATTACTATTTACCCTAGATTATTATTATATTAGTTCTTACCTTAAATTTTTATTATATTTCCTTTTACCCGAAACTATTATTATATTTCCTTTTACCCTAAATTATTATTATATTGCCCTTCTCTATACCAAAATTTTTTATTTTATTATAATATTGCTTTTTACCATAAATGACTATTATTTTGCAACGTCACATGGATTTAAATGGAAAAAATATATTTTAAACATAAGTTAAAATTTAAAAATTGCATTACAAGCTAAAATATTATTTTAAACAAATTAAAAATTAAAAGAAAAAAAAACCTACAACTTCTATTTCTCTCTCTCTCTCTCTCTCTCTCCCCCCCCTCACCCTTCGCCCACCCTAAACCCCCCCAACCCCTAGAAGCTGACCACCCTAAACCCCCCCAACCCCTAGAAGCTGATTTCATTTCTTTAAAAGGATGGTATTCGGTGTGGGGGAATTCAGGCTGAGGCGACTCACGGGCACCAACTAATGTCCTGTCCATAAAGGGTGGTTTAATATTTGAGAGATCCCCACGAGCAATACTAGACCATGTATTTACAAAATGGATAGCAGAAACTCCATATGCAATGCGGTGTTCAATTGCAACACCAAGTGACACTTTGAAGTAGGTCACCTGCATTTGTCAAATGGTGTCTAAACTTTACATAAATATTCATTGGGTGGCTGAGGGTTTCCAACCTCCACTTCGCATGAAACTTAAACTTAAATGGGCGTTTGATCTACTTACCTGTAACACCAAAATGGGACATGAGGATATGCCGCAGCATAATCAATGGGGGGGATGAGCGGAAGGAAATTGGGAGAGGGTGCAAAATAGCCGAAATCATCGACGGTAGAGAAGCTCTCCGCTACAACAAAGAGCACTCCCTCCGCATTGCAATCAACCTCCAAACGGCCATCCTGGACGTTGAGCTTGAGGCGGCCGGCCATAGGGTAAAAGGGCACGAGGGCCTTGATGAGCGCCTGCTTGAGCGCTTCCAGGTGGAAGAAATTGTGCTCATGACCATAGCTTGGTCTGTAAAAGTGAAAGGGCGGGAACACTAGGTCCAAGTTAGAGAGCCATAGGGAGCCCTGAGGCGTTGACTCCTCGGCTGGCTTCACCATGCTCGAATCCCTTATGCTAACTGTCACCTTCTTCCCCATCTCTTCACCTTTTTCTACTTCTTTTTTCTTTGGGTTTTAAGAGGATCAGACTCTTCTTTTCCTTTATAATGGAAAGAAAATGAGGACCTCTTGGCTTTCTTGTGGTTATAACAGCTAAGAGTTCTGAGAGAAACATGCATGCCAATAGCCGTTAGGCTACATCTAACATTCAACAGATCAGATTGGTTTCCGAAGACCTCAAGAAGTGATTAGTAAATTAATGGCATTTGATTTCTCCTTTTGATAGTCCCAATGCCCCACTAAACCTAATCTCCAAATGCTGCTTTTTTTTTTATAATCATTTTTCTAAGCTTTCAAAAAGCCATAAACCTTCTTTCCACGTTGGAGGTCTTCGTGCTCTTCACTAGTATACAACAAACTCCAGCTACTTAAAATCCAAACATGCGATGTCAAATGTCCACTGGAGATCAACCAAGGGCCCAACAGCTCATCAAACTAAACCCTGATACATTAAGATGCACTTACAGACAAGGATTCTATATATTCGTTTTGGACTAGCTGTTGATGTGGTTTAGTTTTCAGTTTGGCTATTAGGCTCTAATCATCAATTTTAACAAATTGGTTTCTATCTGTCTGACTAAATTATTACAAGTAACCATAGAGTTTATACTCTGAGTGTGAGATTAACTAACTGACTACAGCCTAACTAAAACTAAGCATGTGCCTACTAACAACAATACTTACTAAATTTTTTTGATTTCTTGTTAGGTTGTACTATTGGAAGATATTGAAGATCAGGTTGCTGAGAAACTTGTGGCAATATGCCCAGTTAAAGTATTTGATATTTCACTGGTTAGCAGGTAAAAAGAGGGCTACTATAGTCAGACCACGAGCTTGCACACTCGTAGGGAATGCAGAGAATGGAAGGGATGGGAGAATGCAATATCATTACGGAGTAAGAAGGATCATTTCATTTGCAAGTAATTTCCTCTGTAATCAAAGTTGGAATTATAAATTTCTCTTAGTTTCTCATTATTGTAAGTGTCCCAGAAATGTAAGGCAAGTAATTGCTAATGTATGAAATTTGTGTTTCAATCTTTTATCTGTAAAGTGCTCAGGAGTGAAAAACGGCGTCTATGCACGAGACAACCAGCATTATTTTTTTTTTTTTTTTTTTTTTTTTTTTTACTATATAGTTAGTAGGCACTGATCTTCAGTGCCTAGGGAATGCATTAGGCACGGATGTATTTCATTAATAGAATACTTCAACGTGTATTGCACTACTACATTTTACCCTTTGAATGACGAAGAGAATTTCGTCGCGCAAAATACATTGTAGTCGCACAATTAAGAAAAGATTTGCATGTGCCAATTGGTTTTCTTTTTCATTTTTATTTATTTTTAGAATTAAGAAAAGATAATATGAGTAGTTATGTTTCATAAAAGTAGGACCTATTATCTGATTTTTTTTTAATTTAAATTTTTTTAAATATTAAAAATGTGTATTTATTATATTATCCTCATTTAATTAATAATTTCAATTCTAAATATTTGAATTAATTAATGACATTTTTTGGTATTTTGAATGTTTCACTATTCTCTGCCTTTTGCTTTATATATATATATATATAGATTATGTATCAATTGAATATTTATATTTAATTAAATAATAATATTAGAGGCCTCTTTTACACATGAAGTGCATTACAAAGGAATTATTCTTATTATCTTATCAGAAAAAAAAAAAGGAATTACTGTTATTATGCCATTAAAGTATATCAAAAGGAAATTGTAATTATTTAAAACATATATAATTCAGAAAATTATTAAACTAATTAAAGATGAAAAATATATATATATATATATATATATATATAAGTGTAAAGGTAGCTGAAAAGTCAACATATTGTTTGTCACTTTCTTTATTAATGGTGACAAAGGCCATAATAGTAACGGTCACAAATCTCACCAACTCAAAATTTATAGCTGCATCGTTACTAAAGCTTTTAGTCACCAATAAAGGTGACCAATGCTTTCAAAAGTCAAGAAAAAAAAGGTGACTATTGCTGATTTTTTTTTGGTATTGCGTCTTGATGTCTTAGATTATACTGTTAAAGTTTATCTAATAATTTATTGATAAATAAATAAAATAAGTTCTTCCTGGCTTATTCTCTATCTTAGATACTATTCTTGTTTATGTCTATAGAGCCATTTTCTACTAGTGCAATTAACTTTTTTTTTTAGTATAAGAGTAAATGAATAATGCCAAACAAATTTTAGTATTCAAAATCCTAAACATGAGATTATTTTTGTCGTCTATATATAAAACATGACTCACATGACTTCTCCGAAGATATGGAAAACCCAATAATATTGCTAATGTTACGTTTGATTGTCACAGTAATTGTTTGATCCAAATACCAAACTGTTTCTTGATATATATTATGGGGTTGCTTGGACAGTAACTAATCAAAATGATTGTAGCAAACAGCTAGGAAAGAAGAAATTTGTAAATTCGTCTAGAAATACATTATAAAAACCATATATCAAAAACAAATACAAGGCTCAAATACGTCCCCTCCTCCTGTTGATCCTCTTGGCTGCCTCCACAAACCATTCATGCCTCTTGTTTGTCCAAATGTCCCCAGAAATCACTCCAATTATTAAACCACTAATAATTCCTGGCAGAACAACGTCCCAGTCTAGTTCAATTTGAAACCCAGAGTCTTCATCTTCTTCAAAGATTGATGGCGGTGGTGGTCTTGAGCTCTCACTTTTCTTTGACAAAGGCTTTCCACACAAACCTGAGTTTCCAACATAGTAATCTTCTAGGAATGTACTAAATTGTTGGCCGAGTGGTATAGGCCCCCAAAGACGGTTATGGGAGACATTGAAATATGCAAGGAAATTGAGTTGTGCCAAACCACCGGGGATCCTTCCTGAGAACTGGTTTTGGGAGAGATCCAACGATTCAAGAGCAGTCAAGTTCCCTAAAGATGAGGGGATGTGACCAGTGAGAGCGTTGTTGGAAATGATAAGCGAATGAAGGGCTCTTAGATTCCTGCTGGAATCTCTCCTTCAAATCTATTACTTGAGAAATCTGTCAACCTAAGCCGATAAGGGGTCCAAATATATTCCAACTCAACACCTTTTGCAAAAGTATTTTATTGCATGCTGAAAATTTGTGAGAAGTATTTTATTGCTCTTTCAACAAGTAAAAGAATTTGGTAAATGTTCGTTTTTCAGGGGAGACTTTACCGAAATTTTGGCAGAAAGTCTCGTGGCCCTTTTTCATATCTATGGAAAAGAGGCTATAATTTTAATAAGTGGGCTCGACATCTGTGTGGTTTTGGAATTTCCACAGGATTCATTCCAGGTTCCGAGGAATTCGGAGCGGGTCTTATCAAGCTACCTACTAGAAGTTGATAGTAGCAACATATACTGGCTGCAAAGTAAGCATTAAGCATCCAAATATTGGGTACTTAATTAAGAACAACAATACAGGAAATCAAAGAAACAAGCAAACAAGAAACAGAAAATGTAGTTCGTAGCTAGTCGAAAATGTACACTACTTTTTTGTACTCGTACAGAAATATATTACAAACATTGTTGTACAAATTAATACAAGCAACTTCAGCACCACAAATTAATACAAGTTGTACAAATTAATACAAGCAACTTCAGCACCACAAATTAATACAAGCAAATTACATCACCACCCTTATTGTAATAAATCAGTATGCACCAGACCCCATACAAGAATTCTAAACAACAACAGCAGCAGCTGCAAGATAAACATGGATTTTAAATAAGTACTTAGTTTCTCTGTCCTCTCCTCCCCCGTGTGCCTCTTGGCTGCCTCTTCCTGCTAAATTTCTCTAAAAACCATTCATGATTCTTGCTTGTCCAAAAGTTCCCAGCAACCACTCCAACTATTAGACCACTAACAACTCCTGGCAGAACCACATACCAATCTAGTGCAATTTGAAACCCGGAATCTTCATCTTCTTCAAAGATTGATGGTGGTGGCGATATTGAGCTATCACATTTCTTTGACAATGGCTTTCCACACAGACCTGAGTTTCCTTGGTATGAATCTTCTAGGAATGTACCAAATTGTTGGCCAAGTGGTATAGGCCCCCAAAGATGGTTATGGGAGACATTGAAATATGCAAGGAAATTGAGTTGTGCCAAATTACCTGGGATCCTTCCTGAGAGCTGATTCCGGGAGAGATCCAACGATTCAAGAGCAGTCAAGTTCCCTAAAGATGAGGGGATCTGACCAGTGAGAGCGTTGTTGGAAAGGTTAAGCGAGTGAAGGGCTCTTAGATTCCCAATGATACCTGCTGGAATCTCTCCTTCAAATCTATTACTTGAGAAATCTATCAACCTAAGCTGAGAAGGGGTCGCATCATATTTCAACTCAACACCTTTTGCAGTAGTCGTGATCGAGTATGGAACATCATAAGAGTCTGCATATGTATTTGACCTCTTTGACGTCGGAGAGACTCGAAAATAAATTTGGTGATTCTCATCGTCAACAAATTTCATGGAATTCCAGTTGTCTAAGTAGTTGGAGGGCAACTTACCTGAAAAACCATTGTTAGATAAATCAATGATGCACAACATTGGGAACTCTTGGTTTGTTGCAGGCTTCCCAATCATGCCATGAAAACCATTGGACCTCAAACTGAGATACTGTAGAGCTGGAAGTGCCCCTAACCAAGATGGGAAGATGTCACTTAGCTGATTGTTTCCAAGGCTAAGAAACTCTAAATGAGTGCAATTGGCCATTGATCCTGGTACCTTCCCCTGTAACTGATTGTTACTTAAATCAACCATTTTCAAACTATTTTCGGCCGGACATATTTGAGGAATATTGCCGTGAAAAGAATTGTGGCGCAGGTCCAATATTTCCAGAGAGCTGGAGTTCCCCAAACACCGTGGAAGCATGCCACTCAAGCTGTTGTTGGACAAATCAAGAGCTTGTAAATAATTCAAGTTGCAGAATGAGGGTGAAATATCTCCACTATAATTATTGTCTCTGACAACATAGTTTCTGATTGATTGCGGTGGAACTGGCAGTGTTCCTTGGAACATATTGGACTGGAGATCCAAAGAATTTAGATTCTTCCATGGGAGAATGATTGGATCTTGGTCAAATCCTGTTAAGAAGTTATGAGAGAGGTGGAGAGTGATCAATGTTTCTCTAGTTGCGTTCCACACCCATTTTGGTATTCGCCCATGGATGCTGTTGTAACAAAGGCCTAGGTACGACAATTCGTATTGATATTTTAAAAATTCTGGAAACTCTGTTAAGTTGCACGAGACCAACTCCAGAACTTGAAGCTGTGGAAAAGTAGCACCCAAATTGGGTTTGCTCTGCAGAGATAACTTGTTGTCTGATAATCGAAGGACCTTCAACTTTTTGAGCTTGGAAAACTGATCAAACTCAACAGTCAAGTTATTAGAGGAAAGGTCAAGATATTCAAGATTTTTAAGCTGAAAGAGTGACCCAGGAATTTCTCCTTGGAAATTGTTACCCATGAGGATTAGAGTACTTAACCGGGTCAGGTTAGCCACAAAAGATAGGAATTCTCCCTTAATGCCGGCATTCCCAAGGTGGATCGTGGTTAGCTTTCCAAACCACGACCAAGTAATTTGGCCTGTGGAAAAATTACTTGAAACGCCATAAAATGAAGACGTGTCTTGGATTTCCGGCCCCAAAGAAAAAAAGGACATGTCTAGGTAACTGAGTTGGGTAAGATTTCCCAGTGAAGATGGAACAAGGGGGGAAAAATGACAGTAGGAGATGTCCAATAACTGTAAAGAGTGAAGGTTTCCGAGGGAGCTAGGAAGTTGGCCAGAGAAATTCGTGTAGGCAACAGCCAATTCCTTGAAGAAATTACTCCTGTTAAAGGTGGGAAAATAACCTGTTAGGTTTGAGTTACCGTTCAGAACAAGAACCTCTAAGTTTGGTAGGTAGAAAATGCCTGCTGGGAATTCCCCATTCAACTCACAATTGCCAAGTTGGAGAGATGTGAGAGAAGATGCATTGACCAAGATATCAGGCACAGTGGATTGTATCACTACCCAATTAAGATGAAGTTGTTTTAGGTTGGTCGAGTTTTGAACCAGGCTTCTCATGTTTCCCTTGGTCAGTTTTAGAGAGTCACTAGAAGCAGGAAGTTTCAGAGAATTGTAAGACAGATCAAGGGTAGACAGCTTCGACAGCATTGAAATTTCTGATGGAATTTGGCCATAAAACAAGGAATTTGAAAGGTTGAGAAATGTTAGACTCGAAAGATCTTGACCGAACCTTGATGGTATTTTAGAGAAATTGAAGTGATTATCTGAGAGGTCAAGCCTCTGCAGATGAACAAGGCGGAAGAGACTGTTGCTGGAATTGATAGAACCGTAGAGACAGCTGCTGCTGAGGTTAAGGCCAACAACATGGCCAGAGTCCTCATCACACTCTACACCATCCCATGAACAACAATTACTCCGATTTTGATCTCCTTCTAGCGTCCAAAATGCAACCTTCGGATAAGCAAGAGGATATGCAGAAACAGACTTGTTAATTGCAAAGCTTTCCTTGAACTGCAGCAAGGCTGAGCACTCATCAACCTGGCCAAGTGCCTGAGTCTGTACAAGTAAAAAACAGTGAGTGGCATTGAGTAATAGCAAAAGAAAACAACGTACAGAAATAAACTTTGACTGCCACGATTCCATTCCCATCACAACTATGTTTTCTGATTATGGTAATGCTTATGGCTCTTACGTAATTAAGGATCGAGAAATCCACCTCCTTTTATAGACATAGCTCATGCAAAATAATCAAGGAAAATGGGGATGATTGATGAGCGGGGATGAAGCCAAATCAATCACTCCAAGACTTGAATTCAAAGTTGTCTGCAGGATTGATATTTATCTATAATTATTAAAAGTAGTGACATTTATATATATTATTAAATGTGTTGCCTGCTGAGGAGGGCATTTCCCTACTCCACTCTCTTTTATTTCCATTTTATTTTTTTAGGTTAGTGAAACAAATCTTGTGGTGACTTGGTCTGAGTCATGTTAGTTCGGCATCTTTGTTTGAAATATCTCCAGCGAAAATTCTACCATGCGCCGAGAGCATGGATGCGCCCAAATTTCAGCCATTAGATCACTTTGAATTTATGGCTCTTAACAAACACTGAAATTGAATCCCACCAATCCATACAACTGGTGAAGGAAGAAAGAGAAAAAACAAACCAATATAAATAGTAGGCTAGTTTTTTTTTATTATTTATTACCTTCTCTTTTGGATTGATGTTTATGTATATGAAACTTTAAGTAAGAATGTAATTAACTGAAAAACCCAATATAAATTTAAAAAAAATTACAATAAACAGAAATTTTAAATATATTTAGATTAAAATAATAATAATAGGGATTAAAAAATTTGTTCCATGTTTTTCTTCCACTAATCTCACTACTACTATTTCTCTATTACTCCACCAGTAATTAGGATGTAAATGATTTCTATTAATAAAAACCAAATATTTTAGTAAAATATAAAAATATTAGGTATGAACAAAATTAGGAAAAATAATAGAATGATCTAAAGTTTCAAAAAGTAGTTAGTAAAACATTAGATTTTTACATGTCAAATATTTATTTATTTGTGGTTATGTTAAATTTCAATTTTAAGTAATAATGATAACATCTTGATTACCATTTATAAAATATATGTCTTGTTCATTGACAATTTTGTGTGCATAAAATACATTAAAAAAAAATATACAAATGTTATTTCACCAAATATTTTAAAATCTAAGGATATAGATTTTTATAAACTTGTTCTTAGTTTAAAGTATAGTTTATATTTGCATACAATATAACATATTATTGCTAATAATTTAAAATCTAAGAATATAGATTTTTATAAAATTGATTCTTAATTTAAAGTATAGTCTTTTTTTTTTTTTTTTTAATATAACATATTATTGCTAAGCAAAAGAACACTATCATACACAAGCATATGATCATATAAATACTTCTTTGTAAAATCGACCAATTATTAATCGAATTTTTTTCTTCAAGTTTTCAATGCGATTTCTTTTTTATTTTTTCATTGTGTATTTATAAATATATATAAAATAAAAAAATCAAATATAATAATTCTATATTAATAATATAGAATTATAAATAAATATTAAATGAAAAATATATAAATATGTTATACCTTAATTTACAAAGAAAATGACCCATAGTACAATGCTAAAGCAAGAGTAGACATTGAAGAAGTAAAATTGGGTCCTTAGGCTTGTAAACACAAGAGTTTACATCATTAAGGACTACTATTACACTATCATGGACATATGCATTCCATAAGCTTGTAAATCATATCCTTAAGTTTGTACATTACAATATTTGGTCTTGCATTTAAGAGACTTTGCACCTTCATTACAACGTTAAGGTGAATCCTAATCCATAACATTGTAATACTCATTTACAAAGAAAATGATCCCCTTATAACATTAAGGTAAATATGGACCTTAGAGAAGTAATTGTGAAACTTATTCTTGTAAAAACTAGGGTTCACAAAATCTGATGTTACCTCCCTTCATCCTGAGATCTGCCATGGTCTTTGTTCTTCCACAAATATGTCATGGTTTCCGTCTAATCAAAGCAAAAAATAAAAAAACATGTCCAAACATTTTCACACTTAACATATATACACGTATCGTTTGTTTGCATCTATATAACCAGTTTAGATTTTATCATGTTGTAAACAAAAAAAGTTGAGATATTTATAGGCCCTCCTTGAAACAACTAGTACTAGGAAGCTATTGAAAGAGCTTGAATCTCAATAGAGTTATATTTCTTGTAGCGAAAGTTTGTTGCATTCGGAATGGTGGTGAGTATAGAAAACGACATCTAATAATGTAAGGGACCAAGTTTCACGCTTAAAAACCCTAGAAATATTACGGCAATAATAAAGGAGAAGAAACCAAAGATCAAAGAACTATAGCCGATGGCATTTTAAGACTGGGGAAAATGATATCCACTGAGAAAGAAAACAAATCCAAAAAATTTCACACTTCATATATGTGGGTTTGGATCTCAATGGTCATCGCATATTTGTGGGAATGGAGGCCATGACAGAACTGGGGATTGGCAAGGGATTATTTGGTTTTTTTTACTTTTTTCTATAAATGGTTTAAGTTTTTACTTTTAATTGTATACTAAATAATTAGGACAAAATATGAGTAATCAAAAAAAGATGATGTGGTAGTTGACACAAGTTGCCATGTCATTTGCCACGTAAGTTGGTATCACTAAAATTGGTAAATAAGGTGGTGCCCGTAGCATTATTGTATACAAATATTCATTGAATATTTGGGATTTCAAACCTCTAAGCTATACCCTATTGATAAAATTATGCAAGGGACTGAAGCTGTAAGAAATGTGGAATGAAATGAGTGAGAAATTTTTTGAGATATTTATAGACATATTTAAAATTTTTAAAAAATAATAATAATGAAAAATTTTAAAAAAAATACTGGCAGTGTTTTGATGGTTCTGACCTCCAATGGTCATAACTAATTATATATATATATATATATTCTTTTTAAACAAAACGAATTTAAAATATTTAAAAAGGTTTTAAATAATAATAATAATAATAAAAGTAACTTTTCAATCAATAGTTCTTAACTCCAATTGTCAGAAACCAATTATATACAACTTATAAATATTATAAAATTATTTAAATAAATTAAAAAATTTATTTTAAAAAAAAAAAAAAAGTAGTTATAAAATATAAAAAAAAAAAAAAAAACCTAAGCTGACGTCATTGATGACGTCTGTACGCCTTTAATTAATTGGTTGTTAGATTTGTAGGTACACGAGATGTTTCGTACTCTTGCCCACGCATGATACTTTCTCGTCAAGGAAAGCACATGCGTTGGGCCCACAATAAAATTTGACCTACGCCAAAGTTGGGCTAGAAGTGGCTTGGTTGGAGGGCTAAAGGGCGAAATGTGGCCCTTCGAATTTGACCAAAATTTTTTTTTTAGCCAATGGCTGGAGATGGGTTTTTCATTATTTTAATTCTATATTTGGCCTATGGTCCATTACTGGAGATGGCCTTACTTTCTTCAATTTATACTCATGCATGGCTCATTGTCTGAGAGAGTGAGAAATGGGGCACGTATTGTCGGATGAACAACATTCATTACTTCACAATTTATTTAATTTAATAAATAAATAACAACAACAATATATAAATTCCTCTCTCTTTCTCACATCACTCTCTCTCCTCTCTCTCTTTCATGGCCACGCTCCACCACATACACGGCTCTGGCCATTTGACTTTCCTCGAGAGAGAAAACTATGACCTTTCCATTATTTTCGTATTTTCCTAAAGATTATCTAACTGATTTAGGCATTGGAGGACTTTTGGTCAACACCCCTCAATTTGGTTTATTGACTCCAATATATTTTATAGGAATCAAGGAATAAGAAAAAGAAGGAAGCTCAAAAGGTGTAAGAATCTCTCGCGAATATTCTCCCTCATATCATTGTTCCATCCATGAGTATCGAGGTGGGCAACATTGATCATAATTGCGACCAGATGAAGTTCAACCTTGACCTGCCTGAGGAAGAATATGAAAAGGCCATTGTTTGAGTTGCAACTTAAAAGTAGCAGTTGATGTCCTACTTCAACAAGAGAGCCAAAGTCAGAAAATTCCAACCTGGGGACCTTATGCTTAGAAAAGCCTTCATTTCAGCATAAAAGCAAGGGTCAAAGAAGATGAAACCCAGTTGGGAAGACCCTTATCTGATCATCCGATCTAGAGGCAGAGGAAGTGATACACTTAGTACCCCGGTGGGAAAGGAAGTTCTGAGACAGTGGAATGCCCATCACCTCCAAAGATACTATCCGTGAAGCTTCCGCTTACCAACTTGGATTCCAGCATGCGACCTAGCCTTCTTCACCTCAGTTGAAGAAAAAGCTACTTCCGATGGTTTTTTTTTAAGTTGTTCATCCATTTATTTCCATGCAATAAAGCAATGTAATCACAAAAACATCAATACAAGTTCGAGTTTTCATTCAATAAAGTGTACGAGATAATATCCAAAGCGTCCTAAGGGAGACGCAGACCAACGTCCAAAGCGTCCTAAGGGATACGCATGCCAACGTGCAAAGCGTCTTAAGGGAGACACAGGACAACAACCAAATTGTCTTTAGGGAGACACATGGACAACAACCAAAACGTCCTAAGGGAGACGCAAGTCAACCGTCCAAAGTGTCTTAAGTGAGATGCAAGGTAGCGTCCAAAGCATCTTAAGGGAGATGCATGACAACATTCAAAGCATCTTAAGAGAGATGCAGAAGAGCACCCTTTAAGTATGAGGACTTTGAGTTATTTGAAGAAAGCTGCATATTGTACAAGCAATATAACAGATAAATGTTTTACATTAGGTTACTTCACTTTCATTGGGAGCAATTTGGTTACATGGTGAAGTAAGAAGCAACATGTAGTGGCTCGATCTTTAGTTGAGGCATAATATAGGGGCATAGCACAAGGAGTTTGTGAGCTTCTCTAGCTAATGGTACTCTTGTCCGAAATTGGTTTTGCACCAAAGAAAGTCATGGAGCTTTACTGTGACAAGAGATAGCAAATAATCCAGTTCAACATGACAGAACTAAGCATGTTGAAGTGGATATGCATTATATTAAGGAG